GCCCCTACACCCGCTCACTCAATTGTTGCAAGAGAAAAAAACAATATAGACGTCAGAAAGGTGCACCCGCTTGATTTCAGGATGCCTTTAAATACTTTGCAACAAAATTTATAACTGGAGTTAAGCACAATTGGGATGGTTAGATTAACGCTTAACATGCAAAGGTTATGAGTTCGAATTTTATTTCAAATAAAATTTGAATTTTTTGTCTTTTAATTTTAGAATTATTTGTGGAACTCACAACCTCAAGTGCAATTATAGATACTACTGCCATTATGTCGTCAAGATAAATTTTTATTCGTTCTTCTCCCATTTAGATTTTATAATTTTTTTCATGATTTATTTTTCTTCTCAATGCCAATTCATCTTAAAAATCGTCGTCTTATCTCGTTGTCAAACAATATATATTAATATTTTGAAGATCAAGATCGATTCCATTTGAAAAAAATGTATTTTATTTCTCAATTAAGGAATAACCATATATATATTTATTATATTACAATTTTAAAAAAGGCCCCTTAAATATTAAAAATTATTTCGATATTAATTATTATTTAATTAATGATGGCCTTTATTTCTAAATATAAATAGAATAATTTAAGATAGACATCCATCTCGATGGCCATCTTCATTTCCTTTTTCCTTTGATGCTCGTTTTTTTTCACAAAATAATGAAAACTTTTATCTTCAACATTTAATAATATTCCATTTTAATTATAATACAAAATTTGAATTAAAAATTATAGAGGAAACAAAAGATGTATTCTTTTTAATTTGACGTTCATATTATCATATTGTTTTTAGTTTTATTATCAGGTATTCTTAGTTAAATTCTCGTATGAAATTCTGTGTAAACCTTCTTCTTTTTTTTAATATTTAAACCTTCACAAGAAAAGTGTTCACCTTCACACAAACTTTTAAGTTAACCTTCACATGAAAAGTTATGTCTTCACACAAACTAAGGTTCAATTGTCCGTATAAAGTTTCATGTCAAAGTATATATAAAATAACGGTTTTTAAAAGTTTGTCTGAATACTTAGAACCTTCATACGGATTAACTTTCATGTGATAGTTGAGTTGTGAAGATAATTCACATAAAGTTTTACAAGAAGGTTTTGAAAATTTCTATAAACTTCCATCTTAAGGATCAATTTTGAACATTTGGTAAAAAAAATTAAAAATTATAACAATACAAATGCCGCATTAAGGATAATAAATGCTCGTCTTTTATATAATTCATATATATATATATATATGAAAGGCAAACAAGTTTTATTAGATCATGAAGAAAAATTGAGGCACAGTAACTGATGAAACATGAAAATTAGATTATATAAGGTGCATCAAAAAAAAATAAACAAAACCAATCAAAGAAGAGAAAAAAGAAGACAAAAATCAAGTGGTCAAGCAGTTCATGCCCTCGACAAATATCTATATATAACCATCATAATAAAAATTTCCTGAAAGCCATGAACTGCCATGAGATGTTAAAGTATTTTAACACTGACGAAGCCCAAAAATGACAACAATTGGGTTTCAAGAACCATGTCTAAATGATTACAACGTTTGTTGCCAATAGAGAAGACCAGTTTGTTTCAATTTCTCCAAATAATGTGAAAAGTCGTGCAGATTGTAGATTGTATCACTCCACGCTAATAAGATGGACTTACATGATTAGCAAGTTCCAAAATGTCTTTGACTTTCAATGGGGACAACAAGGACATTTTGCACCATCTTCGGGAGCTCTCCCACACCTGGAAAAGATTAGAACATGATGAAAAGCAAATCAAGCGATGATCCAAGGATTCAATCTCCAATCTATATCTTGTACATAACACTGAATGAAGATCGAAGCCAAGACAGTTAAGGTACTATGAACTGGGGCTTTACCCAGACTCAATCTCCAAATAAGGATTAGCACCTTTAGAGGAATAAGTTTACACCTTGGGGTTATGAACCAACTATCCGAAGTACCAAGAATTTTCTCCTCGATAATCCTTCTTAATTTGCTAACAACAAAGCTAGGAGCCACCACCACCTAGCTTCACCCTCATCCCAAGAACTTATGGCTCCCAAATTCATAAGCTCCTTGTGATCACCCCTAGCCCTACCCCTCAATTCCCTAAGCCAATCCCAAGTCAACCGAAGAGAACCCTCCTCCCAAACTAATGTGTTCCCAACTGAAACACCCCATCCATTTTCTAATCTAAAACAATCGTGGAAAGCTATTACGTAGCTTGCAATTCCCTATCCACTTGTCTTCCCAAAAGGAAGTAGTTAACCCTTTCCCCACTCTCTTCAGGGCCGTCCCTAGGGGAGGGCGGCACGGGCGCACGCTCAGGGCCCAAAAATATCAGGGGTCCAAATTTTTCCCTTAAAATATATAGTAGTCTAAAAGAATTTAATAAATTAAAGAAACCAAAAAATTGTAGCATATAATAAGAGAGATAAGAGCCCAAAAATATATCAACTAATTACATTGGAGAATAAAATAAAAAAAATTAATTGGTCATTCATTATATGCTATTGTTTATTGCCTCTCTAATTTTTTTTTATCTCCAACAAGGTCCAATGATGTTGGCTATTGCTATCTCTATATATATGCTTGACTATTTTCGTGCTTCAACAATTCAACGTTAAGATCTTGTGCTTGCTATTGCTATATATTTTTGTTAGATAGTTTTATCAATTTCTATTTTTATTGATTATTGCTATTTGGTTATGTTGTTCTAATTGTTTTTGTTGACTATTGTTATCTATTTTTGTTTCTACATAAAATATTTTACTTTTTATTTTGACAATTAATCTATTGTTATTATGATTTATGACGTGTTCCATAGTTTTGTGATTAATTAATAAAATTTTTCTACTAGATGTATTTAGTAATGTCTTTTATATATGTCATGTTCCATAAACTTTTAATATTAACATCTTATTTTAGTTGAGCAAAAAAAGAAGAAAAATAGAATTTAAATATTTTCATCAATTGTTTGACTTATGTATCTTTCATTGGGATTCCACCACACCACAAGATTATATTTAAGTGCTCAAACAATCATTTGTTGAGCTTGCATATTATATGTTTAATTCATTATTTATTTTACTAGATCTCAGTGGATCATCTTTTCTTTCATATTCTTATTGATTTTCATTTGTCTACTTGTCGATATTACCTTGATAATCTTCTTTATTATTAATCTCTCATTGACCTCACGATTATTTCATTAACACGAATTCTCTTTTTGTATCAAAATAACACATATTTCTTGTTATAAAGTAAAAAAATTCTTACTTTTGATAAAAATTTATCAACCATAGTTTATATACTCTTGGTTTAAAATTACMTAATAAGAAGTACGTAAATTTAAGTACACTTTTATATATCTATAATAAAGATAAATAAGATTTCTTTACTCAGTAAATTATTAGCATTTCTTGTACTCAATTTTATACTAATGAAAAACATCTATTGAATTTTTTTTTTTTTGTATTTACCGAAGGTCACTACAAGAAAAATGAGTTTTGACGATGCGCCTTTTAGCGATGACATGTGTCACAAGTTATAGCGACGACATGTTTTTGTTATATACTATTTCTAATGATAAATGGACTTTTAGCGACAACAAAAGTCGTTGCTAAAAGCCTTGTTTTTTGCAGTGGGGCCCCTGTTTTTATGTTCGCCCAGAGCTTAAAAAATGTCAAGAACTGACTGCTCTCTTACCAAAAGATGATACAAAGTCTATATGTAATTGATATACCATAAACCTCGTCTTAGTGATTCCCTACCTCGTCTTAGTGATTCACCTACCTAGACACCACAATCATCCCCAAAAGCCCCTTTAATAATTCTAACTCATAATGCATCCTCTTCATTGAAAACCCTCCACCACCATTTACCCACAAGACCCACAATTTAGAGCTTTTAAACCTCCCACCCTTAATCCCTGAAAACAAGGACTGCCTAGGGCCTTATCAAGCTCGAGAAGGAGAAGCCTTGTTCACACCCCTAAAAGAAAGAACGTCCCACTCTCTGAAGGTTATCAATAATACGATTTGAAGCACGGAAAAATGAATTTTAAAATGATAGGTTCCCACTCGTTTGCCTTTTTCATATTTGCAGCAACCGGAAGCCCAAGATCAATAAAAGGGATCTGACTGTACCAAACTCCCCAAAAACAATTTATAGTTCGACTTCATTCACCCCCACTCCAAATAATATGCTTTTCAGAATGATGACTTTAAGACCGGAAGCAAGTTGAAAGCATTTAAGTATCCCTATCAAGTTTCGCAAATTTGATGGACTACACTCCCAAAAAAATCATATCGTCTGCACATTGCAAATGTGAGACCATTGAATCATTATCAGGGTGGCCAATTGATATTCCTTTAGAGATTCCATGATCGACCGCTTCTAGTATGCCCACAATAAGAGAGCCCGCAATGATTAGGAAAAAAAGAACGGTGATAACGGGTCCCCTTGACGGATCTTCTTAGCATATCAAATTTCTTAGTAGGTGATTCGTTAACAAGAACTGAGATTGTTGCCGATTCTAAGCAATTTCAAATCCAAGAACACACCACTTTGAATCAAAACCCATTTTTTCCATTAGTTGATGAGAAAATCCCAAGTTACACAATCAAAAGCCTTTTAATAAGGTTTTTTATTGTGTAAATTTCAACTAAATGGCAAAAATGGGTTTTGGTTCAAATTGAAGTTAAGGGTAAAGAAATAAAGAGTAACCAATTTTTAATTTTAAATATGAAGATTATATTTAGACCATGTTGTACATGCTTATGAAAATATCATTAAATTTGCATATTAACACATTCATCATTGTCCTTTATGACCGTTGATTATTTTTATCTAATGGTTGAGATTTATTTCCACATATAAACCAAATATACCCATTATAAAAGGGACAAACTGCATCCACTTCTGACTGACTTTACATCATAGCCGCTGTTTTTGTGTATACCAAAGATAGTTGAAGCTTCTTGTAATGGAGGGGATCGAGCACAGAACAGTGAAGGTCAATGGAATCAATATGCATGTTGCTGAAAAGGGTGATGGCCCAACAATCCTCTTCCTCCATGGCTTCCCGGAGCTCTGGTACACATGGCGCCACCAGATCCAAGCCTTGGCCGCCCTCGGCTACCACTGTATCGCACCTGACCTCCGTGGATATGGCGACACCGATGCTCCACCGTCTCCAACAAGCTACACCTGTCTCCATGTGGTGGGGGACCTGGTGGCCCTCATAGACTCGCTGGGCGGAGAACCGGTGTACCTGGTAGCCCATGACTGGGGTGCAATGATCGGATGGTACCTCTGCATGTTTCGGCCGGAAAAGGTGAAGGCTTATGCTTGCATTTCCGTACCCCATCGGCCAAGACATCCCAAGATGAAACCTACTGTAGCCATGAAAAGTTTCTTTGGTGAAGAGTACTACATGTGCAGATTTCAGGTCTCCCTCTCTCTCTCTCTCTCTCTCTCTTTATATATATATATATATATATATATATATATATATGTATATATGTATATATTGTTAATCTGGCGTTTAGCACACAATTGAAACCAACAATATGGAAATGAACTGACTTGTTATTAACTGGTAGCTAGATGGGCTTTAAATAGCCGTACAATACAAAGAGAAGTAAAGAACGTGCAACCTAACAAACTAAGATAAAAATGGACTCATCCTAAAGAATAGGACTTTATTTAACAACCTGTTTACCAAGTAAACAGAGACTTGGTAAACCTTATGATTACCCCAACATATATATCTCCTTATTAATTTCTGCAGAAAACCTACATCCTTTTCGTTCCAAAAAGAATCCAAAACTTTCAAATTTTCAAGCCTGTTAACAATCGATGTTTTGGTCCACAAGTTTTATTAGATTTGTTTTCTTATGAGATATTTTATATTCAAATTTCAAATCCCTTCTTCTCTATGTTGTCTTCACTCAATCGTAATCATAAATGCATGTGGACTCTTGGATAAAATTATTTGGTTTTTTTTTTTTAAATTATTAGCATTAAGTTTCGAACTGGTTGACACTGGTTTTGTGTCATTTTTAAACTAAAGACTGAGAAGACGACCAAGATTTATGCTTCGGATGCTTGTACATTGTGCTACAACCATGGATCGAATGCATTAAAGAAGCTAGAGACAACGAAACCAAGTATCATGCGAGCGTCTTTAATGGAACATGGGCTGCTAACTTAAAAAACGAAAACAATGTCAATGTTTGTGGGTTTCAGGAAGCTGGAGTGATTGAAGCTGAGATAAAAAGCAATAAAACAGCAGAATTTCTAAAGAGGATTCTAACAGATAAGAGACCAGGACCCCCTTGCTTGCCTAAATCTGATCCTTTCAGACTAAAGGGGCTGGATTCACCATTGCCATTGCCACCATGGTTATCGGAGGAGGAGCTTAAGTACAACGTGGATATGTTCGAGAAAACAGGCTTCACTGGGGGGTTGAACTATTATCGTGCTTTGGATCTGTATGTATTAATTCTTCTATCCATCTTTATCTATCGAATAGGGCAGTTCGATTATTATTGGGCCAAAGTTGGTCGTATCGTAGAGGGAATTAGGATCAGTCACATCCCTCGCCACCCTTCACCCGTAGACAAATGTGTCTCTTTAAGTCGGAAACGCCAAAACTGACTTAATAGCAAGGGTTGGTCTTATTGGGCTGTACACTTTTTTTACCAACGTATCTTAATAGATTTAATAGCAATTAAGTTTCATCAAACAATTATATATTTTTAAGGAAAAACAATTATATGGTTTTTTTTAAGGAAAAACAATTATGTTAATTTTAAGGAAAAACAAATATATGTTTTATAGAAAGGTGTTTAATTATTTTTAATTCAATCATTAAAAAAAATATGTTAAAAATGGTAGAAATAGTGTGTTCATTGAACGTTAAAAAAAAAGCCAACTCTAATCATGAAGAAAACGAATAAGATATTTTATTTCAAATGTGTCGTAATTTTTTTGTTAGAACGCCTATATATATACACATACACACACACACACGCATACGAAGGATCGTATGAGAAGTAGAGTTGAGGTGAGAAGAGTGAGAGATGATTTGGACTCTTGATCACCTCTAATATCAAACCCACCAATGAATTGTCTTTGATATGAGGATTGATCTGGTGCATCTCATCTTAGTATGCATCGAAGGTCTGTTCTTACACTTCTCACATTAACTCTCCTTCTCATCGGAATCCAACTATATATATATATATATATATATATATAATTATATATAGCTAGGGTTCTGTAGATACATCGTAGACTAAAGCTTGACCAGAAATTAATAGCTCGAACAATGTATTACTGTTGGTCCTGTAAACAGATGGCCAACTATAATGCATTATTGTTGGTCCTCTAAACAGATGGCCAGCTATGTTTACAGCAACCCAAACCAACTCAATCCTTTATCAAAAATTTACTTCTGTTTTTTCAACGTAATTTGTACTATCTATTATAAAAACCAACCCACATTGTGACATTTGGCACCAACCATAGGACCAACCTGTAGCTGGCTGACCAAACAGGTCGTGTAAGGGTTGCCTATTTGCTTTCTCTTTTTTAAACCAGGTCGGTTTTGGTCATCATTAAACATAGTCCCAAAGAGTTTTGTGCCATGCATCTGGTTTATATATGTGGTATATAACTTATCTGCAGGAACTGGGAGCTTACAGCAGCTTGGAGTGGAGCAGAAGTGAAGGTACCAGTGATTTATGTAGTAGGAGATGAAGACATGGTGTACACGACACCAGGGTTGAAAGAGTATGTTCATGGTGGTGGGTTCAAAAAAGATGTGCCATTGCTTCAACAAGTCATTGTCATGGAAGGTGTTGGTCATTTCCTCAACCAAGAAAAGCCTCAGGAATCCACTGCTATCATTTATGATTTCATAAAAAACTTCTAACCACCGCGAGGCTATATATTATATATATATAATATATATATATATATATATATATATATATATATATATATTGCCAGCATGTTGCTACTCTATGTGCATGTGCTTCCATATGTCCATCTGGTTGGGAATGAAGTCAATGGTTCTGTTAAACATGTAGGACTACATATCATCCATCCATCAAACATTTATTAATGCTCCTGTTAGTAACTTAATTTAATCTGTTCAGGGTATTGGTGTTATATTTGAGTAACCATTTTTTATCTCTCTCCGTTTTGATGTTGAGAATTATGTGGCTAAGATAAAATAAAAGTTTGCAACGTTTGTTCCACATCAGTGGAGCAATGAATGGCGGTTTCAAATCGTCCCAGTAAAATACACTTTAAATATTTCATTCTTTCTTTCTTGTTCTCGTGTTTCAAAGGTAGAAATGTGTGAGTTAAATCTTTGAGAGTGTGTATTATTGGGGGAAGCTTGAGAGATTAGAACAGTGTGATTGTAAAAAAAATTCACATAATAGATTTTCTTTTAGAGACCATGGTTTTTCTTCGGTTTTGGAGTTACCACGTAAATTCTTGTCCTTTTTTTCTTTATAGTTGTTCATTGTTGGAACATGTTGAGGCCAATATCCCAACAAATCAGAGCTCCAAGTTGGAGGAGGTCTCAGTTAGGGGGCTTTCAGTATGCTTTGTGGTTGCAACTTGTCTGATCTTCTACATCAAAAAGAACCATTTGTTGGTCGTATTGGAGAAGGTCTCAGGTTAGAGGGTTCTTAGTATGCTCTATGGTTGCAGTTTTGTCTGCTCTTCCACATCAAAAAAAATTTCTCTTGGTTAATGTGTGCACGATAGAATCAAATGGTGGAAGGTGTTGGTTATAAATTTCTCAATTTCATAGATCTAATTAATCAAAGTGTAAAAGCAAAAGACATTTAGATCTATATAGGCAAGAACAATAATGATAAGCAAATAAGATATCACCAGCAGATTGTAGACATCATCGTCATTGTATTGATTGAAGGGATTTGAAATATGCTTGGATTGATCTTCACCATGCTCGCAACAGTGTATGTGTGAAGTGTGTATTCAAAAGCTTACAATGAACAAAGCATGAGCCACTAATTATAAGCATATGAAAACTAAGTCAAAGCTCTAGCCAATGGAGACTGCCCACGTGTAAAGGTACTCTAACAAATTTTAGGCGGGAACGGTTGAGGTTGAGCACCTTCATACTTGAACATTGTTGAATATGTTGAGTCAAAAGGAAGTTCCAGAGATAGGCTTGGTCTCTGCTTTGCCAGGTGATCATCGGGTTAGGCATCTCTAGAATGTCGTTCAACCTGGGACTTCAACACTTGTTCTTTTTATAATACTTTTATATGAAAAAATTGGTGTCTAACAATCTCCCTCTAAGTATTGACCAAAAAAAAACTATTATCTAATAAAACACGAGGATAAACAATGTCCTCTTAGTAAAAAGTTTCATGAAATATAGACAATTACAAGGAAAATAAAAAAACTAATTACATATTTGCATCGGACCAGTGATGAAGAACAATTCACAGATTATTAAAAAATAAGAAAACAGGGTAGGAATAGAGTAAGTCGGCCGATTTGATTGAATGAAAAAGCTGATAACAAAATAGGGAATCCAGGGAAAACTTCCCTCTCTCAAAGCCTAAGCCAAGAGCCAATTACAATTTAGGAAAAAATAACATAAAACCTTCTCTTTCCAGCCTCATCCTTATTTAAGCACCACGCCTCTAACTAACATTCTTAGCCACTTTCTTTTTCTACCCTTTTGGACCTTCTAGAATATACCTTTAAAATATTTGGTTTATGTGAGCTTTGGTCCATAACAATTTGCTATCGGCTGTGTTGATCTCTAACTCCGGGGGGGGGGGGGAGAGGGGGGAATTTGCTCCACTGTATCTGACACTACAGCCTTCTTTAACAAGGAAACATGAAAGACCGGGTGCACTTTCGAAGAAACCGGTAACTCCAATTTGTAAGCAACTGGTCCAATTCGGTCCACAATTTTAAACGGCCCAAGAAACCTTGCTGTCAATTTCTAATGTATACAAGGAGCAACTGACATTTGTCGATATGGCTTCAATTTTACATAAACCCATTCTCCCACATGAAAATTCACCTCTCGACGTTTCTTATTCGCTTGATTTTTCATTATCGATTGAGCCCGCAACAAATGAACCTTTAGTTGTTTAATAACTTCATCTCGATCCCGTAACACTTGCCCCACAGCCTCCACTCTAACTTCTCCGGGAATAAATTGAATTATGGTAGGAGGTTTTCGCCTATAAACCACTTCGAAAGGAGAGGTACCAGTAGTTCCATGAAAGGAGGAGTTAGACCAGAACTCTGTCCGCGAAATCTAGATAGACCACGAACGTGGTTGATCAATTGCGAAACACCGTAAATACGTTTCCAAGCAACGATTAAGAACCTCAGTTTGGCCATCTGATTCTGGATGGTAGGCGGAACTCATACGCAACTGAGTACCTTGCAATCGAAAAATTTATTGCCAAAAATTGCTCAAAAATAATGGATCACGATCGCTAACGATGGACTTCGGAATCTCATGATGACGAACGACTTCACAGACAAAAATATCAACGATTGACTTTGCAGTATATGGGTGTTTTAAGAGTATGAAATGGCTGTATTTCGAGAGTCTATCCACCACTACTAACCCTGCATCATAACCTTTAGACTTGGGCAATCCCAAAATGAAATTCATCGATAGATGTTCCCAAATTGCATCAGGGATATCCAACGGCTGTAAGAGGCCACCCGGAGAAGTAGAGTTAGCCTTACAACGTTGGCATAAAGTCACAAGCTTCAACAAACTATTAGACAGCGGCTATCATTCTCGGCCAATTCAAAGTAGAAGTCAAACGTCGATAAGTGCGATAATAGCCAGAATGACCTCCGGATGCCGATTTATGGAATTCCTCGAGCAACGATGGAATAAACTTAGAAGCTCGTGAAATGACCAAACGATCTTTGTTAAACAAAATGCCATGATGAACCGAATAACCGGGATGGCTCGCCTGATCGTGTTGACAATCGTGAATAATTTGCTGAATTTCTGCATCATTTCTGGCTTCGCCAATAAGTTGGGCCCTTGCAGCCATATTGGGTACGGCGTGATTAAGTGTAACTCGCCTTCTTCAGCCCGTCGGGACAAAGCATCGGTTGCCCTATTCTCGCGGCCCGGTTTATAACAAATTTCAAATTGATAACCCAGTAATTTCGCCACCCAATTTTGTTGATCCGGACTTGTTACCCGTTGTTGAAGCAAAAACTTCAAACTCTCTTGGGCGATATAAACCGTGAAACGAGTTCCTAATAAATAGGAACGTCAATGTTGTACCGTCAAAACCAACGCCATGATCTCCCGTTTATAAGCAGTTTTCGCCAAATTATACTCACTTAACGCCTTACTTAAGTAAGCAATTGGTCGCTGTTGTTGCACTAACACAGCCCCAATCCCTTTGCCCGAAGCATCACATTCCACAACAAATGGAAGATGGAAATATGAGAAAGCCAATAATGGAGCCATGACCAAAGCATTTTTCAAGGCTTCAAATGCTTGTTGAGCGTCCGAATTCCAAGAGAAGGAATCTTTCTTTGTTAAATCCATCACAATACTTCCGTAGTGTCGAACAAACTTCCGATAGTACCCAGTGGGCCTAACAAACCTCACAACCCTTTTAATTGTTTGGGTACTGGTCATGCTAAAACTGCTTCAATCTTTTTGGGATCCATTGCAACTCCGCTGCCGCTGATTATGTGGCCCAAATACTCGATTGACTGTTGGCCAAACGAACACTTTTTTTGGTTAACCACAAATTGATTATCCAATAAAATTTGAAGCACGGCCCGCAAATCAGCCACATGCCTAGACCAAGAAGGGTTGTAGACAAGGATATCGTCGAAGAAAACGATTACATACTTGCGTAATAATGGACGAAAAACATCATTCATCACAGCTTGAAAAGTCATCGGAGCGTTTGTAAGCCCAAACGGCATTACCAAATACTCGTAATGACCGTCATGGGTGCGGAAAGTAGTCTTTTCAATACTGTCTGGCGTCATCGTAATCTGATTATACCCCGATTTCAAGTCCAATTTCGAAAAATATTGGGCACCTTTTAATTCATCGATGAGCTCGTCCACTACCGGAATGGGGAACTTATTGGGAATAGTAGCTTTGTTAAGGGCCCGATAATCAACGCACATTCGCCACGAGTGATCTTTCTTTCGTACCAATATAACGGGGCTCGAAAAGGCGCTTTTACTTGGACGAATCATTCCCAAATTCAATAATTCTTGTACTTGTTTCTCAATTTCAGCCTTTTGAATGGAGGATAACGATAGGGACGAACACAGGTTGGTTCATGCGGAGTAATCAACGAAATTCGATGGTCATGAGGGTGTTTGGGTGGCAGACCCGTCGGGTCACGAAACACAGCTGAAAAGTTGTCGAATAGTGTTTGTAAATCACGATGTTGTGTTATGGACAACGTCTCCGCTTCTGTCGATTTGGATCGCACAAGATACGCCGCTAGAAGAGTAGGAGATGTAACCATCGAGGATAACCAAGTATGAAACGACGTCTGCGATACTTGGGATTTGCCAAGACCTTGGAGGTATACCGAAGTGCCCTGGTATTGGAAACGCATCGACGATTATTGCCAATTATGAATAATTTCACCCAACGTTTTGAGCCATTCCATACCCAGCACCATATCTAAATTCCCCATGTCAAACACCAATGCTTCAAAATCGAATTCTCATGTTCCCACCAATACTTTCAAGTTCGGACAACACTGATTAACGAAAATCTTATGGCCATCGCCCAGCTAAATGTTGATACCCGAGAAAGAACTAGCAGCCAACCCCAAAGCAGTTACTAATTTCCATGAGACGAAATTATGGGTGGCTCCGCTATCCACCAAAATTACCATAGGAATTCCGGCAATTGTCCCTTCAATTTTCAATATTGTCCCATCGGTCAACGAATTAAACGAAGCTTCTAAAAATTCCAATGCGGAACATAACCCGATAGGAATATCAGCTTCATCGTGAGCCACCTGTTCATCAATCGTATCCATCACGTAAATCTCACCATCGTCGCCCACTGTTTCATCCTCACCCAGCAAAAGTATCCACAATTTTCCTTCCGGACATTTATGAGTTGGACCGAATTGTTGTCCACAACGGAAACACAACCCCTTCTTCCGTCTCTCCTCCTATTCTGTGCGTGTAAGAGATCGGACCCCCCGACTGCGATTAATGAACTGAGTGTTGTCGAGTGGAGACGCCCCTGGAAAACGCGACACGGACAACGAACGACCTGGATCCGGACGTTGAAGTGTGTTCTTATCGTTATTAGAGGGAACATTGGGCCCTTTTAACTCATAGCGGCCTAACGAAGTGGGTCGAGTATCATAAGAATGCCCATTATTTACCCCACTCCCACCCTGGTAACGAAATCAAGATAACGCCATGTTGCCGAGCGAGATCATCACCTCTACATCCTTTGCCAAATACATAGCATCAAGGCGAGATTGAGGACGATATAGGCGTACCCATCGTTTAACCTCATCCCGTAGGACCGCAACAAAATAACCCATAGTCTGAGGTTCCGGCAATCGGGGAACCAAAGATAACAGGTATTCAAAATCGTCTATGTAATCATGAATAGAGGCTACATGTTTAATCATCGCTAGCTGCTCATACAGGTTCTGTATTTCGAGGCTGCTAAAACGCTGTAACAGCTCCCGGGTGAATTGTTCCCAAGTGATCGAATCATAAATCTGACTGACAATCGTGAACCAGTGTTGAGCGGCGCCTTCCATGCTTAATTGCGCCAAATGAATTCAAAGATGAAGAGGCGTACCATGAATATCGAAATACAATTCCGCTTTCTTAATCCACCCTTGCGAATCAAAACCATGAAATTCCGGCAGCTTGATCTTTTTTGCGGCCCAAGGAAATCCTTGTGGAGATCCCGATTGTGAGCCGATAATTGCAAGACTCCCACCCGACGCCATCGTGAATCCTCCTGTCATAAACCGGAATTGGAGATACCCCTGCCCTGATTCACCGGAATATCACCCATCAACGATATCGGAATGATGGGAGAACCGTTGCACACCATCGACGGTCCTCCAGTATCCGAGCTAGTCTGCTTACCTTGTTGTTTGACCCATTACATTACAATTTTGCGAAATTCCTCCTCCGCACGATCTCCCTCCCAAGCCTTAATCGCCGTTTTGATTTCCAAAACATCCGACTGAAGTTGTTGGAGTTGTTCCTCATGTTGATCGAGACGTGTTTGTTGAGCTCTGGTTTCCATGGACACACCATAGGTCTAAGCAGGTCGGACCAGTGAAGAAGAACAATTCATAGATTATTAAAAAATAAGAAGACAGAGTAGGAATAGAGTAAGTCGGCCAATTTGATTGAATGAAAAAACTGATAACAAAATAGGGAATCCAAGGAAAACTTCCCTATCTCAAAACCTAAGCCAAGAGCCAATTACAATTTAAGAAAAAATAACATAATACCTTCTCTTTCCAGCCTCATCCTTATTTAAGCACCACGCCTCTAACTAACATTCTTAGCCACTTTCCTTTTTTACCCTTTTGGACCTTCTAGAATATACCTTTAAAATATTTGGTTTATATGAGCTTTGGTCCATAACAATTGGATCCATAACAACTTGAGACCAACATCATTCTTGCTATATGCACACATAAAATCCTTGCGATCATGTTCGCGGTAGCATCAAGATTCGCAGCAAGAACTATGTGCGATGAACATGGTTAATAGCGGAAAAAAGAAGTATATGAAAACAACAAATAAACCATTCATGGATACCAACAGAAGACACCAGCTAAAAGTCTGTTTATAAGTCACCGGATACAAAGAAGCAACGAATAATGCTCAAACACCAGAAATCAAGCTAAATTTAAGCCTAAGGTAACCGAAAAACCTTGGTGAAAAGTTATTTTAGTAATTCAAAGCCAAAAAATTATGAGTCACATTTCTAGCTTACAACCGATGTGAGATAGGGATGTCACAATCATGCACTCCAAATTACATATTGTATATGAATACAAGATGACAAACAGGTGCTCTTTCAGGTTGACTAAGAACTTACATGAAAGGAGCAAGAGAACCCAAAAAAAAAACAAGGAGGAAGGATATAGAAGGGCAGGACATATTTGCAACAAGTATGCAGTTTTTCTTGATGTTGCAAAATTTTGATCGCATCAGATCTTCAGGCACAACCTCAATCGAGACGTTCCATCTGCAAACAGAACCAAAGACATACTCAGGTTATTTAAGACAGAAGCTACAAACGAATCAAATTGCTAAACATTCATCTTCATTCAAGGGGGAAGGTTGCATGGGAGAATAAGTATTTAGAGAGATTATTATGGGTAGCATTTTCGTGTACATCTACAACGGCACAAAATTATTTCCTTTATCCCGTAAAAACTACAACCAACATTCCAATTTCTAGCAACCGTTTAATCTAAAGCTACGTGCTTATCAAGCATCATTATAAACAAGTACTGCTAAAGATACAAGTCCACAAGCTTCTCTTATTGGTCATTATTGAACGGTATTTAACAAACAAACATTTCTCTTAATATAATGTTGCAATTTTCATTGAACAGGGAAAGAATTTAGTATTTATTATAGATGGTGTAACACATGTGCGGGTGTTTGTGTTTATGTTTAACAGAGGGGAGATGGAAGCAGAATCAAAGAGAAGAGACATCGCTACGGGCATGCATCTATGATGTTGATCATGAGAGATCTAGTGGAGAAAACTCAAAACGGGAGTGACAGTTTGAACTGATGACTTCTATTTATTGGTTATTAAATTACAGTTGGTTGTTTTGTAATTATCGTTTTTAAAGGTCGATGATAACAGAAATGAAGTCTTATTTTGCAGTTTAAGTAAACGTACACCCGTTTACTTATCATGTTGGTTTTACATTAGGCTGAAGCCTAAAACAAGATTCCCGGTTCTAAAAATGCAGAAAGAAATGGAATCGTGTGAATGAGCAAGGTAGAAGTCAAACTTTTCATATCACACAAATCTAAGACAACTAATTCACAGTGGGTTCGTCCCTACTATATTGCATTCCTACTGACAACAGTTGGGAGCAGAAACACAATTGTTGCACACATTCTCAAGAGCAAAAATGTTCAAATACCAAAAGAGTGTATCACGATATTACCTTCCAGAGGCCATCATTAAGGTAATGCATATTATCCACGCCAATGCCCTTGTTAATTGCCCTTCTGTAGTAGTAAGAAAACAGTTGACAGTAAGAATATGTATGAATCTTAAGTGGGATCAGGAATAGGCATTCATTCAGTTCAAAAGGAGAAACTTCAGCATGATGGATAAACTTTCAAATTTATCTTTTCCTTTCATAAGTAGCGGTTTTATTTAGAAATTGGGAGGAAAACAAAATCTCAACCACATTCTTACAGGTGGGAAGGGATTACAACCTATTAAAAGTAGGTATACAATCCTAGATCCCTCAAACCAAGTCTTGTCCTGTGTTTCTATGAAAGAGAATAATATTTATTTACCCTACAAATCTTGCTCTTCAATTTGATTTGTCTTCCATCATATTGTAGTATTCTAGTTATAGCTTCGTTTACATGATATAGAGTGAAAATTGAATATATGATACAATTTGAAAATATCAAATGCGAATTTCCCATTACCATACAAACAGAAACATAAGAAATTTCTGTTGGGAAAAGATAATCCATGCACTCGAGCATTCTTGTCAACTATCTTATCTATATGGGGATCATTTGATTTCCTATTAGGAATTTAGGATATGATGTGTATTGACAGAACAAACAGAAATACAAAATTATTAAAGGTTCCCACAAAATTGCAAATGGTATGTAAAAAACAAGTGTACTACTGCAGTTACCATTCACCTTGAATATTCCTGCCATTGTGCATGGGTCACATATAACAACAGAGGGGGAGGGATGTAAAATATTTATAGGCAACAACATTACTTTGCTTGCTTATTACTATTGAATCAGTTGAGTGTAGTCGTGTAGATATTTGTCATTTGTTTAAACTTCTGCCCCACATTGCTTGTTTAAATTTGTTTACACGGACTTGGCTTTGTATAGGGCTTACAGACCAAGGCTTTATTGTGGTTTGTCAAAGAAGAGCATTACTATTATCGAGGTTATTAAACTGATTGTGTGCAAGCAATATTGCTCATAAGTCCTGAGGGTTTCTGCAGTAACCTGGTTCATTTCTTTTCTTGTTTAGAAGTTCTTTTACCTTCCAGGAACTATCGTCCTACATTAAGCCCCCAGAATTCTTTGACAACAATCTTAAGACGAATGCGTAACATCTAGAGAATAACTTAACACTTAATGATCCCAATAATAACAATATTTCTTTTAATGAAATAGACAATAATAGCTTTAACTTATACAGGCAAGAACCCACCCAATAAACTTACACAAGTGATGCAGGATGCAAATCTTAAGCTAAAATGTTTCAGAAACAAAAACTTCCCTCAACAGATGCTCTAAAGATTTATTCCATTAAATTCATTTCTAAAGTCTGATCCCAAAAATTGGCACACATTTCTTTTAGAGGTGTGTAGCTTTGTCAGTGACCAGGTCACATATGAACCCATCCGGTCAGGTTAAAAACCAATTCCTTTTAACGCATTTATTTGCATTTGATTAAATCAGGAGAATATCAGTGAGATCTAGAAAATAATGTAGTATAGTGCTTCCTTTCATTGTGAGTTTCTTGGTGTTGGAGGAAGAACAACAGGGGTGATGCGAGTTGGACTTGGATGGTGAGGGCGTTCAATGGAGCAGGGATCCAAGTAGGGTAGTTAAGCCAAAGATTAAATGGGAATGGTTCTGTTTGAGGGACTGTTGGTGACAAATTGAAGAACAAAATGGGCAGATTGGGCAAGTCAAGGGATGATATTTGTAATCCACTTGCAGATAGATAAGAGCAACTAATCATCCTTATCATCTAGAAGCAACATACTTCACCAGCATCCCGAACTCAGTGAAGGTGACCGGCCAACCTTCTCACAACATGCTCAAAAAGTTTCATCCAAGCACACTTGGAGTACATGCTCAGAGGCTGGGCCAAATATGAGCTCATATAAGGAGCAGTGTTGGTGCTTATGAGCTGGACCTTTCAAAGAGTATTGATCATGTATTCAATAAGGAAGATCACATCCCTTATCATGGGTTTTCTAATGCTTCATCCCCATTCTGACTGCTATTTCTTTCTGCTCCACAAATATATGCTGATCAAGACAAGCCAGTATCTATTCTCTTTTTGCATGTTCCCTCTGCACCTCTTCTTTCTTCACAACAAAACAGTGAACATAATTAAGAATATTCTGGATGAGTAGATTGTGTTGACTAATCAAGAACCCAAGATAGATACCAATATTATTTGGTTAAGTGGTGAGGTAAGCATTGCCATAAATAGTTTGGATAGTGCTGAAGAATTCCACCATGTTGATTTCTCACTTTTGAAGTGTTACAATATTTTTGCTTTGCTGGTGGCAAGCTTTTTGCAACCACAAAAAGCTTATTAATTCATGTTTGAATTTAGATATGTTGATATTTCTTTATTGATGACCTTTAATGTCCGACATCAGAAATCACTTTTTATCATTTATTGACTAGGCACTTTGATCTACATAAGGAAAAACCTTTGTTGTGGTTTCTCATAGAAGAGTATTATAATCGTACCAAATATCAAGTTACTTCTCTAAATGTGTGCAGTAGTCTTGAGCATGCTGCTCAAGAGATCCTACGGTTTCTGCTTTACCCAGGTTCCTTTTTCCCAATTCAAAATTCCCCTTTTCACCCTTTCTGAAATTACCATCCTACATCAATAGTATGGAAACTACCACATGATTTCCATCATGGTTTTAATTCATTTAAGATGTTTATGTTCTTTTCCCTATCTTATGGGACCAATTTTACCCAAAAAGATGATAAAATGACATTTAATGAAAGAATATCATATACTTTTCCCAACAATATGGTATTATTTTCACCCAAAAGATTGATGACAAGACATGTAATGAAAGAACAACATATACTCACATATCTTTTGCTGACATTTTTGTAAAGCCAATAGCAAGAGCATGTTGCTTCCCTTCAGCCATTATAGCCTGACATAGTGAAATAAAAAAAAATAAGTTATCTCTAATGAAACTAGGAGACCAATGGTTTTATCATAAAACTAGTATGTCTTAAGATATAAATTGATGGCAAGCAAAATATGAATAAAGACTAGCCACCTGCTGAAATTAACATTTAAGTAGATTAAGCAACTGTCATAGACTTTTGGTTTTCACATACCACGGGAGTATCTGCACCCACTTCATCATCCAAGACACCTCCAGGAGATGTAAGACCAGGACACATAATATTAGCACCAGCAAGGACAAATTTTATTGCCCCCCTGTCTACTTGTAGTTTCTTCATTATGGTTGGATCTACATGCAAATAGGAATTTAAAAAAGCTATTATGAGATTCAGTATGCAAATGCTGCTGGATGTTAATGAAGAGGAAACTAAGCAAGTAAACGAAGTGGTACCATTCTTGTACTAGATGTCATGGTATTTCTTCAAGTTGTAAATGTTTGATAAAAAAAATAACGTGGGTACTTGTGTGGATCACAAGCTGATTCTACTCAGTGAGTTGGGATGTGCAATTAAATTCATTTTGCCACCATAACCCTCAGTGGTAGGAACCCTGATTCAATAGGTCTCCCTACCAAGTTGTAATGAATCAAAGTGGGTGGTGCGGTCAATCTTTGGTGGCTTTTTCAATCAATCAGTGGCTGCTTCTGGTGGCATGGGGATACTATACAGAGTTTTTGGGGGGTGGGATGAAAGTCCTGAAGGGGATTTCAGTAACAGAATACGTGTGACAGTTATGGTGCAGGTAGCCACAGGTTTGTGTTTGTTTGTCTGCAGGAGGATTTATAGAAGAGAGAGAAAATTAAGAATGGTTATTAGAACTTCGGGGGAGAGAGGCACTAGGATTTTGAATCTTAAAAGAAAGACTTGGAGGGTTGTATTAGTAAAGAACTTCTCTCAAACCACTTCAATACGACCATACGTAGACAAAATGCACTCCATTGTTACATAACATTCAAAGCACGCTAAAGTCTTAACTGCTATGATCTAATAGCCAAAATCTTTTAAGGTGTATGAGAAATGGACTTTACACGATTTCTCACTGCCTACCAGCATTGTATTCTAGATAGTAAAATGATAACTTTTCTAGATCCAATATGCCACTAAGTTGGTCAAGAATTATTGTCCAATGGAAAGATTAAGCTACCATAGTGAGTAACAATTGAAAAGAACATTAAGAAGTCCAAAGTCGTTAAGCTTTTGACGGTTGATTTTGTTGGTTGGTACAACATCATACCAAGAATATTTCATTAGATCATCTCATCATGAAGTCCAAACCTCAGCCTGCACCTCCAGTACTTCAAACTAATGATCAAAAAGTAAGAATATTTTGCAAACCCATTATCTACTCACACTGATGAAGGAGTCGTAGTGTAGGCATATAGGGCCCATCACGTATGTTGAAAAACAGTGGAACATTGTTCACCACTACCAGATTCAGATGATTTTGGCTAACAACATTAAAACAAAGACAGCAAACAAGAGGGTGTTAGAAGCTAGTTAAATAACACAAGACTGTTGTTGAACAGGTGCACATGAGAAAGCAAATGAGCTAGTAAAAAGGGTGAACCATTTTGCAACAATGAGTGGAGACTTCTTTGGAAGCAGATCATCCAAAACTAATTCCAATCCTGGGTACTGCAGAAGGTAAAAGTGTCAGATATCAATAAATCTGTATTGGGAACAATAATATTTATAAGAACTATGACAAAGAATTGCTCTTATAACCTCATCAGCAATGCTTTGTCGAATTTTGCGTTGCACAGAAGCTTTGACTTGATTTTGCCCGGATACATCTTCTGAGGTAAACCTGAGAGTAGCATATAGTACTTGAGTACATAATGCAATACATGATGAAAGGAAAAAGGCAGTTGTTCCAAGTAAAGTGAAACATGAACCTCTATTACCAGGAGAAAGACAAAAAAACATGTTCACTTACATGTCCTGAAAGTACTGTAATGGAAACACCAGTATATAATTGGGGCAATTTCAGTAAATCCCAACCACAAGAACAAAATTGGCACAGTCAATATCACAAGTGTGCCTCCTACGGATAGCCAGAAGGTAGTGTTGAAAAGACATACATAGGACGTTTGCCAATAGCACTGTCCTCATGATGGTCCATCTTAAACAGATACATGGTGGGGGTTTTAGGCAATATGAATTTTACCAGGCCCCATAAACACCTCAATGTTATTGTCTTCCAAGATGATGGTTACCACTTAGTATTGAGGAAGAAGTTTACACTTTGAATTACAAGATCCTGAATATTTCTCATTAGTTTGTAACTTAAGTTCCAATCCCGTTTTAAACCTAGAACATCACAATATTTACAAAACACAAACAAAAAAGATGACAAATTTTTGAGCTGGAAGGCAACCCATTGGAGTAACAAAAAGAATCACATATGGTCACTATTATCCATTTTGAAAAGGAGACATATATGAAAAAATTAAAAATCAACTGCTGAATCCAGATTGGAAAAAGCAGTTCTTTTAGCAATTGAACTCTGACTTATCTTGCAACACTCGGATTTCTGAAACTGGAAATCAATTTTTACACTGATTTTTGAAGCAATGTAATTGCCCCTAAGGAGAAGAGCGAATACTACCGTAGATTCCATCCTAAATGCACCAAATAATTTTGCCTTTTATCGCTAAACCTCACTCGCTTCCCCAGAAAGAACAAGCCATATAATAGGATCAGTTAACAGAACAATAATCAATGTCAACCAATGGACAGATGATCAAAAACATACAATATAAACAAATTCAAAGGAAAATCATGGGCAACATCAAGAACAAGTGAAAATTGTAGAGAAAATCACTCACTTTTTGAACATTTCAGTGGGTAAATCAAAAGGAAAACCTGGCGGATTTTTGTTTGTAGGGTTTGAGCAGGGGAAGGATGTGTAGCTCACCGCTAGTTGCGAGGCTAATCGTAGCAACGCTGAAAGTCTGATTTTGAATCGCAGATGGGTTTAGCGTCTGAGTGCGATACAAATACTGTCGGGTCCAAATCGGGTCAAGGTGAACCCGGATGGATTAGAAAATGGTAAGCGTCCAGAAGGGGCTCTCAAAATCTGTATTAATCTTTAAATCGTATGTATTAGGTTGATATTGATTATTTTTATTTGAAGATAATTCAATTCGATGAATCTGAAATCCTTTTATTTTTTGATTATATATTATTGTTGAGTCTATATTAATATATATACTATATTATAAAATATTTGATAAAAACTTTTAAAAACCATTTTTTATGTACAGTATTGTTTATTGATGCATATTACTTAAAATTTAATATTACAAGTAAATTGTGCATACGTACAATTTATTAAAACTCTATATTTGAACTCGTGTAACTAACTACAGATAAACATAATCAAATATTAGATAAACAACTCATTTTAAATATAAAAAATCTAAAATAGATTAGGATAGTTATAGAGTTCTAACAGAATATTTAGTTATTATCTTTTTAATATAATTAAAAATTTTAATTAAGGAAATTATATCAAAACACAAGAATTTTTAAAAAGATTAATTTGCTACTGATATCGATATTTTCTTAAAAAAATTATGATATTTTTTATTTTCTTAAAAAAAATTATGATATTTTTAGATTTATATTTTATTCAAAAATAAAAACATCCTCGCTTTCTCAAAAGCATATAAAAACGTATTATATCAACATAAAAAAAACAAAACACTGAAATCAAGATGTGTCTCGATGCATTGCACGAGTACCCTTCTAATATATATATATATATATATATATACTTATATACTATCTTATAATGCATTTGGCTAAAACTCTTAATCTCTTAAAAACAACTTCTATTGCTTTAGGTACAACCTACTAAAGCATACTATCCTAAACCCCCCATCCCTAAACCCAATCCCATTTTTTATCGCAACCCTAATCCCAATCCCAATCCCAATCCCATTTTATCACCCCTAACCAATTTGATGAAATCATTTAATTCCCAATCCCATTTTTATCGCAACCCTAATCCCAATTCCATTTTATCGCCCCTAACCCAATTCGATGAAATCGTTTAATTTGATTAAGTTGATATCGACTCTGCTTATCCCTAAACCGAATCCCATTTTTATCGCCCCTAACCTAATTCGATGAAATCGTTTAATTCGACTGAGATTATATTGACTAGAGATGCATATATTTGACATGTGCTTCAATCCATCGGTGTCAATCCAGAATCTAGAGGTGGTATTCATTCGTAATCGCAGCAACTAGAAAAGATTGCAGTTTACAGGTTCATATTCGTTTTCTATTCCTGTTTAATTTAATTTATGTACTCAAGGAGGTTCATATTCGTTTTATGTGGAAGTTTTTGATGAGTGGATCAATTGGCTTCTGAATCTAGAGGGGTGTATGAGGTGCTCACAGGGTTGTTTACTACTACTGGTTCATTTGCAAGGAGTCCATCATTTGAAACATTAAATCACTGTCTATAAATATATGATTTTTTGTCTGTTCCTTCAAGATATATTACACTTTGGCTCTGCCTTCTATACTTTGATATTATATGAGATTTTGTTGACTTTGTTTCAGTTCAAGAATTTGCTGCTTTGCTACTATTGGTAGCTGATTTTGAGGTATGAATTCTTTGTATTGTTCTTGTTTTGAGCGAGCAAAATTCAAAAAAAAAATTGAAATTGAAAGAAAGTAGGTGTACCGTATGGGTTATTGTTTAGCATATTAAAACTGTTGTGGCGGCAGGTCTTCATCTTTTTTTATAAGGTCGAGATTTTTGGGTTTTGCTTGATCAGGGACTTGAGGCTGATCTTCTAGCTTCGACAACGGCTGAATTCTCTAATAAAGGTACTCTTTATGTCCTTATGTTAATTTTGTATCAATATGATAACAGAGAAGATTGTTTCATGTAATATCTTTTATCATCCTTACCTGAATCTCTCCAGCATTTTTTATTCATTAAGCACATGATGTCTTTTTGCATTTGCAAAAGAAGTCCTTGTACATATGTATCAACTATTGCAATATAAGAACATCAAGCTTTAAGCAATTAACTAATTTCATCAAGACAGAAGTTGCCAGCTCTTTGATAGTTTGATCAGTTAGCAAGCTCAAAGGCACCAAGACACTTTCTTTCCTCCTGGTGGATTACTTTTTTTCTCTTTTTCCTAATGGGTTATGGGTGTTCATATTGCAAACCTGAAACTAAAGACTTCTTTCTAGAGGATTTATTAAACCTGGCCATTCTGAGTTGAAGATTAAGGTGAGTTAAGATTAGTTGAATAAAAGTGAAAAAGATTGCATCACAATAGTTAAGCCTTCATGATACCGCATCTAACAAGTCCATTTATGGGGCAGGGTGTTAAGAYCTAAGCAATGATTCTAGACAAAGAGATTCTTTCTTTGATTGCTCTATATATGTTTTGATCAACATACTAAGCTACTGCCTATTCAGCCAAGCTGATTTAGCAGGTATTCCAAATAGTAACTTACCTCCTTTGGGTGCTCAATTGCATAATCACATTTGCATTTGTTAGTACTYGATCAGATAATGTGACATATACTCTTTTGCCATTTAGAAAATCTTATGTGAGCACCTTTTTATCCATTTTTGAGTATTTAGGTTAAAAAAAACTTGTTTTTCAATTGAGATGATATTGACTCCAATAGAATTTGCAATAATAGAATTTAGAAGCAAAGCAAGTTGTTTGCAATCAGAGATATAAGATCATTTTAGCTATTATTTACGATCCATGCKKTGTTAAGAAATCAAGGTGCATATATGGATCAATGTGTGACAGCACCAGCTTTAGGGAAACAGACACTACTTTGCAGCATGTGAATTTAGGGGTCAGTCTACACCCTAAGCATAATCTTTATGTCAGCATGTACTTTTTTTATCTGAGAACCTGTTTTCCAAATACCCAGGTTCAGAATCTGGTATAACCTGTTTACATTAAATAACATATGAACACCCCTGTAATGCATACAGCAACCATGTGTCTCTAATATGAACACCCCTGTGCTTGCTATAATGCACACAACACCCTTGTGTCTGTTGTAATGCATGTATTTTTTTGTGTAATTAAGGACCACCAAGCACCCACCTCCCAATAGTGATATGAAAAAATGACCTCTTCCTAGAACCACCTGTTGTAGCCTACAAAGCATAAAACAATTATTAATGACCAGGTAAACATTGTTGTTGTATCATCCATAGGGAATAATGGAAGGTTTACTTCTAGACTATCTACAAATTTTGTGTTCTCTTAAGAGTCTCGGAAGTGAAGATAATAAGTTTATCAAAACATATACAGATTGTGTACTATTAGATTAGATCTGGGATTATGGCTCATGACATGGCACATTACCAAATATTGCACTTTCTTTGMAGATATGGCCTCCTAAAAGTGTCAAAGACTCTGGAKCCCKCTTACACTCRCAGTTGAAGGAAACAATTATTCAGGTAATGCAATTTCAAAACAACTTGCATCCTCTCACCCTTTTTCCTTTGAAGATATATAGATAGTCCAAGTTCAAAAGGTTCAACCCCCCCCCCCAAAACATGTTTACTATATGTAAAAAGAATAATATTTCCTTCGACTGCTATCACAGCAGGCTGCTATCACAACAGGCTGCTATCACAACAGGCTGCTATCACAACAGGCTGCTATCACACCTGCTGTTACAATCATTCTTGTTCCTACTGTTGCTCCTGTCCAAAAACCTGTTGTGATAACAGTAGGCTGATATGTGAAGGTATAGAACTTCAACCTTCTCAAAATAACCTACAGGTGGAGGTATCACCCCTCCTGCTCCCATTATTGGTTCTGCAATAAACGCAGCAATCTGAAATCAACAAACATGTAACTAATGTCTTAAAGGCATCCCATACCATGTGATCTGGAAATTTCCTTTCAATTTGTTCCATCCAACATTCAATTGATCATTTTCACCAGTATCTTCCTGCAGTAAAAATGCTTTAATATTACTCGATATAGGGGGAATTACCTAATTGCTTTTGGTATGGTAATTAAAAATATCATTGACTTAGATATGGCAAGAAGCCACTTTGCATTCATATTTTCTGGTCTATATATGCAGATCATAGTTCGTATCAAAAGAAAACTAAACAAAACAAGATGTCAACATATGCATTCCATCAAGAATAATAGTTATTGGTAGTTGAAATTGATATTGCTTCATCTGCATACATTGCAAAACTGCTCATCAGTTGATTATCTTATGATAGATTGAAAGAGATGTCTCCAAGTTTCAAGTTAGAGTTTCTAAACAGTAGCGTGTGTAGGGAGTTCAAAAAGCCTTGTAGATCTAAATGAATAGAACCACTTACTTACTCACACATAAAAATCAGATGTCATGGTAGTTCTTMCCTGACAGACGTGAGAAGTGCAAATGTRAACATATTGCAGAATCTGCATAAGTTCTTGATTACCCAAAATAATCAAGAACCTCAGCAACCTGATCAGCTAAGTCATCAACAGACAACACCGGATCATCATAAGACATTGCAGCAGCTTCTAACTGCAAAAGCTCTTAAGAATGTACCATATAACTGCAAAAGCTCTTAAGGATGCTTCTGGGCATAAGAAAAGACCTTGGAAACAGGGCATATATGTGCAAAYAGGCAAACATACACATCATTATTGATGTGGATGATCAAMAATCTTATATGCCATTGTCAAATRAAGATGAAAGTCAAAATGGTCAAGAAAACCGAATCATGGAGATCTTGAGTCTAACATTTCAAGTGATGATAGATTTAAAAAGAGGAAGCATGCCCGTTCTCTATTAGATTCAGACTATGGCTACGGCTAGATTCGATTACCAACCARAGAGCTCCYGTTCGTATTAGGACTTCGGCTAGATTCGATTACCAACCAGATGTGTCTAAGGACTATAAACAAAMTGGTTATTGTGGTTACGGTGAGTCGTGTAAATTTTT